CAACAACAACGACAACATACAAATGGCGTTGTGCAAGGGGAGAACCTGTCGCAGACGAGCCGGATGGCGGGAAGCGACCCGTCGGGGGAGGCCTCAGCCGTCTCGATCCTCATGGCGCCCGGTTGCCAGGCGGGCAGGTCGCAGCTGTCGCAGACTCTGCAACAGGCCAATGAGGCGCTCTACTCCCAACCGGTCTACGAGAGCTCGTACGCCTCGGCCGCAAACACTGTGGCCTCGGTGTCCACATCATTGGAGCAGCACTACGCCGACGTGAGTGAGCCCTACCTGAAGGACGGCTCGGCCGGCCTGCTCAACCAGAGGATGGTACAGTCGGGCTATCCGGCCAACGGGTTGATCCCACTCCGGCTGGACGAGACTTTGGCCCAATTCGCCACTGGCCTGACGCCGATTGGAGCCGCCACGTCGCTTCCCACCAACTGGTCCAGCTGCCTTTCGCCCCTGCAACAACAACAACACCCCCACCATCAGCACCAACAGCAACCGCAGCATCCACAGCATCAGACGCCCACCGGCCCACCACCGCCGCTACCACCGCCGCCGCCTCTTCTCTTCAACTCGCACAACCTAGACCTGGTCAGGCTGCAGCAAGAACAACTCAACGGCCTTGCCACGATGGCCAGTCTGTCCGGCTTCCTGAGCGCCCAGAGACACAACGAGGCACTCCTCCTCAGGCTCCCCAGAGTTCTGACCACGCCACTGCAGCCTCCTCACCCAGTTACGCCAACCACGTCTGCCGCCGACAACCCAAATCATCTGACTAACCTTCTCGCGGGTCACTCTTTTAGTCGGCCCAGAGAGCCCCAGTTTACGGGAGACTTTGAGCTTGCCAAAGGAGCGGCATCAACACTAGCCCGTTTGGCTGGACCCCTTGGCAGTGTGCCGCACCTGTTGGATACCAAAGTGCCATTGTTTGAGGCTAAGAAGGCGATAAGGAGGAGGCCATCAGTGGAAAATTTCTCAAAGTCAAAAAGTCGAACTGACATCAACCATACTCATAAACAGATATACTAATATATATACCTATATATATATATATATATTTGTATATATATTTTATATATATCGATTTTTTACTGACTTTTCACGTGTACCCAGTCCCTTTCAACCTTATTTATACATTTGTAAAGGATTTCATATCACATAGAATATGTATTTTATACTTTCATCCATTCGATTGGCGCTTTCTTTTCTTGTCTCTACACTCAGACGCGTTCCCGTTTAGGAGGCGAAGCATTTTTTCCGTTTGATAGTTTAGATCTGGCCTGCTAGTTGCGGAGTTTTGCATAATAATTTTTTTTTAAGTAAGGCTTCGAGACTACGAATAGATCATATGTATCAGATTAATTTACGAAGAAAATGCGGGTTTCGAAGAATCTTCGTATGGAAGTACATGATGAAGAGATTCGTGGGTCAATCTCACCAGAAACCCTCGGCTCATTCACGTTGTACTGCAGCCGTTTGGCTTTAATACGACGTTCAGGTGGATGCAGTCCATGAGTCATCCTCCATCGTTTCGATTAGTCAAGAAGACCATTAATTTACCCCATTTGGTTAAGGTGAAGGGACAAGTCATTTTATTTTTCTTTAATCATATGAGAAGGCCTTACCCTTCCATTGCATTTCATATAACCTCACTTTCCCAAAAGGTGTTCTCATCCAGGAAGGCCTGCAGTTTCGACCTCGCCTAGGTCTAATCATCACCCCCAGCGAGACTCGAACTGTGATGGTGATTGGTACAACCTCGACAAGTTAAATACCGCAACGTATTGTCACGAATGTCGCTTTTGGTTAAGGGGAAGATATGGGTTTCAAGTAAGGCCATGTATTTTCCCATATTAGATTTTGTGGTGAAATTGTCGCTTGTAAATAAGGTTTCTAGTATACTATTAGTTTAGATAAGTGAGATGTGTCACCCTATTTTGTTTAAGATAAGGAAGGACCGGTAGCTGAATTTTCAGACAATGATATGAGTACTAGTCTCGAAATCATACACACTTACTAAGAACGTAATGTCGCCGATTGTTATATTAAATATAAGTTTGCTTCATCGACAATCCCAACACAGAATGTGATATGGAAAATGCCTGACATTTCTGGAAAGTCGCATCTACCCTGTGATCCAAAGGCACTCGTGGCAATGTGGCCGAGTGGTTAGTGTGTTGAGCTTACATGCTGCGCTGTCATGGTTCGACTCCCGCTTGGGGTGTTGATAAGACCTATGCGAGGTTGGAATTGCCGTCTATCCTGGATGTGAACATCTTTTGAGAAAGCAAGGCTATGTGAAATTCAATGGAAACGTCAGCTTTGCTCACAGCATTGTGGGAAAAATCAACTACCAGACCTTCATCACCTTAGACGAAATAGGATGAATACAACTCATATGATGATATGAATAGACCTTGTGCTTCCATTTAATTTCACATAGTCTTGCTTCTCAAAAGGCAAGGTCGAAACTGCAGTCCACTTCTGTATGAATGAGAACACATTTTGAAAAAGCAAGGCTATGTGAAATTCAACGGAAACTTAAGTTGTAATCATATCATTGTGGGAAAATTCAGCTACCAGTCCTAAATTACCTTAAGCACCTCTCATTTATCTCATATTCTCTTAAGCCCATTAATTCCAGAATGTTATCCATAATGCTTATGCCGTTGTGAGCTTTTGTTCACACGCTTGTTGATTAGATAGAATAAGGCAAGGAGACTATTTTTGCCCCTTT